ACTCTTGTGGGACACTCTTGTAGGACACTCTTGTGGGACACTCTTGTGAGACACTCTTGTGGGACACTCTTGTGGGACACTCTTGTAGGACACTCTTGTGGGACACTCTCGTAGGGCAGAGGGTTGCGCGGGCACCGGACAAATCGCACTCTCGCCTGCATTTCGCGCGATCTCCGCAGAGGGTGGGGCGGGCACCGGACAAATCGCACTCTCGCCTGCATTTCGCGCACTCGACACGCACAATCTCCGCAGAGGGTTGCGCGCGCATGGAACAAATCGCACTCTCGCCTGCATTTCGCGCACTCGACACGCACGATCTCCGCAGAGGGTTGCGCGCGCATGGGACAAATCGCACTCTCGCCTGCATTTCGCACACTCGACACGCACGATCTCCGCAGAGGGTTGCGCGTCAAGTCTCCTAAACGAGCGAGACTTCCTCAAAAACTCACACGTCAAAGTCTGCAAAACGAGCGTTTCGTACGAGACTTCCTCCAAAAGTCAAGCGGAAACACCCATCGGAGCACACACATCACGCAGCCCTGCCAAGCAGTTTCGCGATTCCAGCCCCTCCAAACGACACCCGCTCACACGCCAATCCCAATGTGACAGCGACATTCACCTCTACCACAACTCACAACCTCCCGATTCCATGCGCCTGCCACGAATCTTTCCGCGTCCACACGTCTAACGCGCACAAAGTACTGCGCCTGCCACGAAATGTCACCTCCGTCACACCTCGCAACCTCACGATTCCCTGCGCCTGCCGAGAATCGTACTTCCACGCCTCAAAACCCGCACAAAGTCCTGCGCTTACCACGAAAAGTGACAATATCATCTCATGTGAGCTTCAACAAAATTTGCACCACACCACACGTTTGGAATGATTTCGACCCGTTCTGAGCACACTCCCATCCACCAAAATCGCCATTTCAGCTGAGACTTGTCACGAAAACCGAGCTTCGATGCCACACCCTGAAACGCACATCCCAATGGCAGGGCCACATCCAACACCCCAAAAACACGACTCTCCAAGCGCTAATCCCAATGGAACTGCGCAGCAATCCGCGAATCTCACAAAACGCTGCGCCTGTGCAGCGAAATGCATCACGTTTCTTGCGCGACATGTCCGTGTCATGCAAATCACAATGGAATAGCGGCGCAAACTGACACGTGACACATCCATGAAAAGTCACTTGCAAAAGCTTCCCCCAATGGCAGCAAATTTGAGACGCGACGACGACGACAAACGACGACAAACGACGAGAGACGACGACAGACGAGCCATGCAAACACAGCTCCAAACCCCAGACCCCCAACTATAAACGGGAACCCTTCGCTACGCATTCGGGAAAAATCTGCGTTGCATTACTAGTAGTAGGCCCAAAGCGAAATTGCTGGAACTGCTGAACCAAGGAACGGATCTGCTCCTTGTATCTTGCAGGTGAATTCCATGGAAAATGGTTTCTTGCCATGACCTGATCAAGGTCGACATCAAAGACATGTGGCACCCCTTGAAATCTGTGCTCCTAGGCGCCAAGGCTTTCCGTTGGATGTGCATGGTTTGTTTTTAGAAGACTTGACCTGTTCAGACTGTCCTTACTTGGATCAACTGTGGAAGTCTGCATCCATCACATCAAGTTCATGATCGGCGAAAAGGTCTGGTGAGTCTGGTGCTTCCAAGCTGCGTCCAGTCGTCGGCACCAGCGGGGTGAGCTCCGCCACCTTGGCAGAGTGAGGGCAGCAAAATGGTCGTGAGCTCCTGACCTTTGAAACCATCCAGGGGCTTCAAACATGTTCAAACCACCCTCCCACTTTCACGTCAAACTTTTGAAAGATGCCAGAGTCGTTCAGGACACTCCGCCTTTACCTTTCGTCTTCACCAGTTGCTGCCACGAAGCCGCCAAGCCAGCCGCTTGAGACGTCGCAGCGAAGGGCACAGTGAGGACGGCAACTGAGTAGCTTCTTGTTACTAGTAACTAGTAGCGATGGCCTTCAACCTATATAATAGCGATGGCCTCCACCTAGTAGCTTCTAGCTACTAGTAGCATCTAGTAGCTAAGTGAGTCAGGAGTTGGTTTCTATGAAGTTTGGTGAGTGGTGAGACCCCTGGAAGTGGAATGGGGTGCATCCGTTGTGGAATCCAAAGCAGGGTTTCTGCAGGACGGCCAGCATCCCAGGGCTGGAGTTGCAAGAATTGAGCAAGCAAAGCAATCATATTCTAGATTCTAGCATTGAGATCTGTGCATGTTGAGCTCGTCCTGCATCACCTGCAAGAGTCAAGTGCTCAGCCCAAAATGCGATCAAGCTTGCCGTCTCTAACAAAACATAAGAAACTAAACATACAGGCAAACGTGCAGTATATGCAAACTGTAGTCAACAATGAGGGACCTATTTCATCCTGCTACTAGTACATACTAGTACGTCACCCAACAAGCCTGTACAGCCTTGCTGGAGGATTGTAGTCCATCGGCAATTAACCTTTGGCAGCCCACCTGTCATCACTGAAAACTCTCATGAGCAAATCTCTATGCAGTGTATAGCTTAATTTTCTACAGCTCTGTCTCCGATCTATATAAAGCGGTGTTGGGATAGCAACAAATCCCCCTACTATATATACTTACATTTTTCACTGCCTTCTAGCCAAGCGCCAGTGAGGTCGGCCTTGCGGAGTGCCAAACGGAAAACTCATCAAGCAAGATCAAGCAAGCCAAGTGTCAGTGTATATTACTGTATATTTGGAGAAAACAAAACCGAATACGTTGAGGTAGGATATGGTAGGTTACTTGTGGCACTCTAAAACTTGCACCCATGTCCTGGTATAAGTCACAAACTGTCATGATTGCCTTCCCAGTTAAGCAGGTGGAGAGCCTCGGAGGTACGGCAGGTGGAGCGAACTGTTGAATGGATATCGACACAAGGTAGGTGCAAAGCAAAACTTGGCACACAAGCAATGTCCAAAAGGAGCTTCAAAGCCGCTACCAAAGGTACAGCAAACCAAACCTGATGCGAGCTCTACTCATACGTGCGAGCAGGTTGCAGCAGCACGAGCAGATGAGAAATAGCTGCGTGCATTCATCCGGCTATAGGGCTACTCCCCTCCTCTTGGGGACGGCCCTACATTAAGTTCAAGGATGGCCACAAACTCCGTTGCTCTAACTTTGACCGTCTCTTGTGCACAAGGAAATGTCGTTGGTCACTGCTACCTACCTCATTCCTTCTTTGCTTCCAATTCCAGAATCCAAAAGCATTTCAGCAATCACTCACATCAGCTGTAGTTGAACACCAGGGCAAGCAAGCTAAAAGCAAAATCAATGTTGTTCTTTGCACCAAAGACTGTGGTAGCGCCAAAGACTGTGCTAGCCTCATGATGTAGCTTTCTGTGACCCAATCTATACACTTTTCTGTGACCTCTTGGGCCGACAAGCTGTCGGAAGGTCAAAGAAAGAAGCAAAGACAAATATCCAATGTGGTGTGACATACAGTGAATGCAAGTGGGAAGTGAAAGGCCACTTCAATTGAGGCCAGCTGCAGGTAACCTGGCTCCCCAAAGAGGAAAGTTCAAGCCAAAAGAACGTCTTAGACTTTTCATGGAAATGCCACCGCTCAACATTCTAAGCCCCATGACTGCTTGCTCTTGCAAGCTCCGATTCAGGCCACATTGCGCCTTGTACAGCAATTACAGTAGTCGGGCCACATTGTCGCTTGTAGAATCCATGGAAAATATATAATGGAAAATGAAAATTGGAAATGGAATGGCAACAAGTCCAGCGATTCATGTCTCTTAACATGTCCTGCTTGTTGCCCTTGCACCAAATTCAGGTATGGATTGGAGCAGGCCAGCGAACTCTTGCAGAGCCACGCTGGCCAGATCGACTTTCCTAGTCCTATGCGGCTCTCAATCCACCCACTTGGGGCTCTCACTCTTCCCTACCTGCATCATCTGTGATGGCCCAACTCTTCCAAAAAGCCGGGTCTCATCTCCAAGAGCAGGCACGGGTTCCGCAATGGGGTTTGTGACGTGGTTGCTGTGGTCAAGCTGGTGGAGCATCGGCAAAATGTACCACTTCCATGCAGGGAGGACCATGAGTGCCAGGAAAGAGGCCAATAGCACGCGGTTCACAGGAGGGGACATGCCGAAGAGAACCTCATATCGTGCCAATCCACCCACAGAAGCATCGAAGCAGCGTTCCCAGGAGAAGCCGACCAGCATCCCCAAACCAGTGATCATGCCCCGAAGAGCTTGGTCCACCTCAACATCTTCAAGGTGCATGTCTGCCACCTGATTTCCACACAGAACGCAATTGCTTGGAGCGTCCGTGTTCTCGAGCCTTCCCTTGGGACGCTTTGCTTCGTTTTTAGGTTCTGGCATGCATGCAATACTTTGAGGCTTGTATGTCACTGTCCAATAGATTGCGGTACAATAAAACAAATTATGGTGTGCATTTGTTTTTGAGTTGTTGCTACGTTGCATGCATGGTCGAGTCATCGAAATGCAAACCCTGCTCATCTCGCAGGTCCACCCCCACCAAAAAGACGCAGCCGGGCTTCTTGTCCAGCCGCTGTCGAATTGAGACGAGCCACTTTGTCCAACACAAAGATCAACAGAAAGGCAAGCGTGGCCGCCGCCAAGGCAGAGATGACTGCTTTGACCGTCCCGTCGAGGAGGTGAAGGTGAGAAGCAACAAACCAATCGATCGCAAAGTGAAGGCACCAAGCAAAGCTCATGGTCGAGATTCCTTCACACCAATGGTGACTTCTTTGCTCATAATGGGTCGGGCTTTCCGCACTGAGGCCACTCGCAATCCGACGGTAGCGCCGCCACTTTTGAGCGATTCTTTGACACATCACCCTCACCACATCCACTGCACCGGGCATCAGTCCAATTAGGACCAGCAATGCGCAAGACCAATTTGAATGCCACACTTGCCCTTCAGCATCCTCGCCAGATGCAAGCGGAAGTTCACCAGAAATGCCATAGCGCAACATCTGCACCACGAGGAAGGAAATGGCCAGGGAAATCACTTCGTCTTCGGTCTCTGTGGTATACTCGCCCCAGAGCATCTCAAACTCGTCCTCCTCTCCATCTGCCATAGTCTTTATGTAGCGGAAAAAGTTGGTAGCACGGTAGATGAGGCAAATGCCAAAGAAAGAGATGATTGGAACAAGGCCACAACACCAGAAATTTCGCGGCACGGTTTGCTGGAGCATGCTGCACGCATTCTTGGCTGCAAAGCCGGTAGCATGGCCAAGCAAAATGCTCCAGGCATGTGTGTTGAGCTTGATTGCACGGAAATGTTCTTCCGCAGACCTTTGAAGGAGTGCCTTGCTTCTAGGACTCCCACAGCGGTCAGCCAAAGTTTGAGATGTATTTCGCTTGACAACTTCCTCTTGTTCCCCAATTGCACCAGAGTAGTAGGCCAAGATCATCTGCAACACAGTGAACCACACGAGCATCTGCAACATTGCCACAGCCACCTGCTGCCATGCTGTGAGATGATGAAGAAGGTAGTGCTCGAGGAGTTCTTCCAAGCTGTGGAAAAGAAGTAGTGCACCAAACATGCTGATGGTTGCATTGATGACTTCCAAGGAGATTCGACGGATATCAGGATCAGGCCAATTCACAAGATAGAAAGTTGCCATGACAAAACCCACACACCCGAGCAAGGTCAAGGAAATGCAAGCATCCTCAACTTCCGCGACTCCAAGAGGCTCTTGTGCGACTGCCATGAAGTGCCTGTGAGAGGAAGGTTCATTGGCATCTCGTGGGTGTGGCACCAGCGCTAGGGCCAGAGCCAATACCAGCACCACAAGGACAGATCGACGGCGGCGCCTAACGACTTGAGTGCTCATTGTGTATTGATCCAATTGAGAGCACTTGCTGCTTCAGCACCTGTTTGAGCCACTATACTGCACGGGACAACATCAATGCGGGATTCAATATGTCAAGTGCTGAATGCCATGCCGCAATGATGTTGGCACCAAGGCCTTTTGGCTTTCGCTGCTTTGTGGCCCCAATCAGGTAGCATGGGGCTGCATGCATCACTCTGCAGCGCATAATTAGGCAAAAGCACAGCCTTCCCTGGAAAGTCCCGACCTCGTGTGGGCATGGTGCACACATGAGGGACTCAGAAGAGCAGTCCAGGCACGCTTGTTATTGATGCTGCACTTGCCACCTCGTACTGTCGCATTCTCTGCCCTTCTGAGGGTCCTGGCTGCCAACTGCAGCGCAAGCACTTCCGGAAAATGGTCAGGATGTCAGCATGTCAGGACCTCAAGCACAACATGTAAACCTTGAAGACCCTTCATGGCTGTTGATGGATCTCAGTAGCTGACAAGTTCTTTTTGATTCTCTCGTACGCAAAAACGCAAAGAGTGAGCCTCGCGGACAATCTGTTGCGAGGGCTAAGTTGAATTGATGTGAAATTTGACACAGCGCCCATCCCAAGCAAACCCCCGAGTGGAAACTACTTGTGCAAGCAAGCTTTGTGTTTGCTCAATTCTTCGAAGCTTTGAATGTGGCAGTGTTGCATGTCTCTCACTGCCTAGGAGTAAGCCACATGACCCTCGCGAAAACGCCGTCCATCAGGGCAATCGCACCTCGTATGGTCAAGTGCAAAGGCAAATAAACAAGCATCTCCCCTGAAAGGTCCCAAAGTAAAAATGTTCATCACTCTCGCTTTCCACTTTTCAGAGCTTGAAAGGCATGCAAATGGTGTCTTTAGCTCTCAAGGGGATCAAAACTTCCTCCAGCAGTTGCTGACCTCACAACAAATAAGCTGTTGCAGTTTGCCAAAGCGGCCCTCATGTTCGAGGAGATGGCGAGCAGCACCTAGGCCGTGTGTCTCTGACAAAAGCACACCCACTTAAACGCCGGTGCATCCAGTGACTCCAGTGTTGCAACCACCGTGGCCAAGGCACCCAAAGCACTGCTGTAAGGGAACATCTCCTGGCTTATCAAGGACTCGACACTTGCACCGTGCACCTCTTCAGAAGTTTTCATACGGCCCACTGTCTTGTTCTCCCTTTCATCTTCAAACCGTGCCCAGCGTGCAGGATTGGCTCGCGCAACCTGAAGTCGAGTCTTCAAAACGTCCACGGGGTTTGTTACGGACGCCTGAGATGAGCTCAACCAACTTCTGGCTCAGTACATCAAACCATGTAAAGCACTGCGGCTGCACATCTCAAGTCAACTTTGTACCAACCATCTGGAAAAGACAGTGACAAAAGCTGCACATCTGCAGCTAAGCAGCTGCCACAACTCCAGCAGCTATGCCACAGGACACTTGGGCGATGGGTTCCAAGTTGTCATGCCCATCTTCGTACCTGTTGATCGGGACCAACCGCAAACAATATTGAATATCGGAGAAGGGCTTTGCAGAAGCTCTCACAGAAGGGTTTCACAGAATGTGCCGCAGCAGGGTCTCGCTCCCAAACGAAAAGTGTCTTACAAAAGGGTCTCGCAGAAGGGTCTCGCAGAAAGTCTCACAGAAGGGTCTCGCAGAAAAGGGTCTCACAGAAGGTCTTACAGAAGGTCTCGCAGAAGGGCCTCGGAGAAGGTCAGACCTTGCTGTTGCGAGACCCTTTTGTGAGAGCTTCTGCGAGACCCTTTTGTGAGAGTTTTTCTATCTCTCGTTCATGATGAGCACCTATGGATGGGTTGATTCATACTATTCAATATTCAGCTTTCACTTAACTGAGTCCAAGCATTTCCAACAAGAGGCCCTGCATTGATGCATAGCCCTTTCAGCTTCTCGTAGACCATGAAATAACCTGGACGTTGCGCACTTGATTGCTCAGCGTTGATTGAGTTCTAGCTCCAGTCAGGGTCGGCTCCCAGCTCAAGGGTATGGATTTTGGGTCGGCGCAAGAATTTCCCAAGTTTCACCTGCAAATCTCCGAAACACCGTTTCTTCCGTCTGCACACCCTGCGAGCATCCCCAAGAAATTCATGTCCCACTAAGGCGTCCGAATCTGTTCAAATGCACCGCAACATGTTTGAACATTCTGATCATAAACCTGAATGGGAGCCCCACAATTGCTGGCGCCTTACAAAAAACAATATACAATAACAACCAATCACTGACACAAAGTGTCACAAGCATCTCCGCCAGCGCAAATGGTTTAGAAAAGAATGCTCATGTTCGTGCAACACAACCTTCTGTTTCGCTGCTTGCAGTCGGGGCACAGCCATTAAAGGGAGCCCAAGTCACTTGGTGAATTGGAAACGCTCGATACCTCCAGAGACATCAATCACGGAGGCAACTGGAACCCAATGCTCAAAGTGAAGGTAAGAAACGGCTGGTGCAACTTCAGAAAACCTGCTTTAAAAAAAATTGTCTATGATATATGCTATGTTACAATTATGTATCTATACATATTTATATAGATCATCTACAGTACATTACAGTACTGTATACTACACATCCATCTAAACCAAATGCCTCAGGCATACTTTTGAAGATGTGTGAAGCAACAGTTGTGGTAGGTCGTCGTCGGCAAATTGTTCAATGACATCTCGGGGAGTGTGCCACATTATGCAGCTGACAGTGTTGGGACGCAACTGAGTGTAGCACAGTCCAATCACACCCTCCTAGCAAAAACACAAAGCACTTGTTCAGAAGGCCTCAAATAACATCAAAGCTTGAAGAACCTTATGTTGTGATTTTTGGCGCCAAGGCTCATGTCGAATGATCTGCCTAAAGGCATCAAAGGAGCCTGTGTATGCGTTGGCCACCTGAGCCGCGACGTGCAAAGTGCCCACTACTAGCAACATGGGGTCCTTCTTGACACACCTGCTCGAAAGCAATTATTCTTGTCCCACCTTCACCTGGCCCTCAACTTGCAAGCGCTCTTTGATCACATCCTTGGCGAACATCTGGGGTCTTGAGAACCCCTTTTTGGGGGGAGGGCATCCAGAAACTTTGCCCTCCCTGAGGCGCGTGCCATGGGGACCCAGGCTAGAGAACCGCAAAGCTGAGCCTGAGCTCTGTGACCCAAACTCTTGGGAAGTGCAAGGTTGATTCTAGTTCTGGAACCAAGAACTTTAGGTTACGTTCATTGTTCTTTGGTCCGAGCAAAGATGCCCGCGGAGAAGTTGCCAATGCCGCTTTGTCCTGGAACGTGCGCTTGACTCTGCTTAAACCTTACGGGGCCCCAGGAAGGTAGTGCCTCCACCTAGGAAGCGTTTCGCGGTCTCGTAGCCACCAAAGTAAAGGCCCTGGAAAGAACAAACACAGGCTCAAAAGGCAACGATTCTCGAAGACTTGGGCGATTGGGATGTCGTTCGAATAAAGTTTGATTGAGCACCTGAAACATGAGAGTGAGATGTGCAAGCAAACAACTAGTCCGCTGCACAACTCTAAACTAGGGACAAATATATGGCTAGTTCACAACCATTGCTGGCTCGACATGTGGGCCTGAGCGGGTGCTGCGCCTACGAGGACCGCACCAAGGCCTCTGTAAAGGGTGACGGGGCCTTCCTCAGTCACATAGATGAAGCACATGGGGCGGGCACTCAGAGCTGGAGAACGATGAAATGCCAGGATCCCCATCGTACAACTCAGGACCAGCACTGATATACACTCAGCTCTTCCGCGGAACCAAGTGCCAAACATTGCTCAAAATGTGCCTCAAGGCGTGAGCCACCTGAAGCGCCAACATGTGCACTTCCAGTTACTGTATATGTTTGTCTACCCATCTAAAATTGGACGATCTTGGACGTTGGAACCCGTCCCTTCATGTCATGGCCTTCTTTGCGTTTAAAAGCTCCATCCGTTAGTTTTTTGACAAACACTTGAGTGTGTCATGATTCACCGTGTAACTCTCCGCAGCGTTCTTTTCAACCAACTCATTGATGCACGTGTCAAGCTAGGCACACCACCCCCCTGTAGACCATGGCTCCATGCGATCCACCGCCGCTGCCCTGGTGTGACAACTCACATGTGAGGTGGACTGCGGCCCACAGCTAAGTTGCAGTAATTGGCTTGGCCTTGATTGGTTTCGGGTATTGGTAAGAGGTGGCGGCTTGCAGCAATCTGCAGAGTTAGATAGCCACTCCTTCTTCTGTAGCCTTACACTAGGGCCTTACACTGTTGATGCTGGTTGCTCAAACGGACTATTGTACATGTCTGATTCAACTGCCTAAGCACCCCTGATCTGCCTTGGCCCTGCTTAAGGATTTTAAGGTGATGCGACCAACTTGTTCTGAGATATAGAGAAGGATAGCAAAGTATCGCGTCTTCAGACTAGCTTCGGGTGGAAACGTTAAAATGTTCCCATGCGAAGCACACACTTAGCAAGTGTCCACGTGTGTATTTGGAGATCTCGCAATCCTGCAGAGTTCCTCTCCCAGCCCTCGCCCTCCAGGCCCTCACCTGGCCTGCACCTGGAGCCGAGTTTTGATCGTCGATATTGGATGAGTAACGACGTCCTTGGTTCCCAACAGCTACGCAAGCGTCAGAGATGACAAGTACTTGATCCCTTCTATTCAATCGGATGCTAACCATGCAGGAATGTATTTTATGAAATTGTATAGATCCACTCCTAGCTCGACGTATAAGTTAGCGCAAAGTGGTCTCACGCGACCCAAAGGCACATGCACTGTTGCATGTTGCATCTGCATTATCTTTGCCAACAAGTCTCTGCAAAGATTCCAGCCGCACTGCCGGCAATAACTTGATCTGCCAGCGCCGCCTCGGCCGGGCACGCTGAGCCAATCTGTGCACGTGTCTGGGTCAACCGAAAACGGCAACTGAGCTAGCAGGCCAGGTGCGCCATCGCGTGCAGCGGAGTCAGTTGATGAGCGCTCCACGATACTGGGCTACGGGGATAATGGTTGACTTGCAAAGTTAGAGGAGACCTTGGTTTCATTTCCATAGGCGAACCAAAGGGCACAGTGCAAGGCTAGGAAGCCAAAAAGGCCTACGAGACAACAAAAACAGCCGAACAAACGAAGGTTCATAAAAGTTCTGTCCGAATTTCTCAAGTTCATCGAAACCCATGAAGCGTGTTGACGGAATATGCGTGGACCGTTTTGGCTCCGCAAAGCTCGGGCTGGTGCTTTGCACTTCTGAGTCACCGCATGGTACGTGTCCATTAGTCTCCATTGTGACCATCCCAGTGCCCAGGATGCTGCAACTTGAACTATTGGGCCGTGGTCTCATCATGGTTCACTTGGGTGACGCAGTCAGAAGCTACCAGGCGTGGCCAAGCGATTGGACATATCATGCTGCAGGAGTAGGCTTCCCTCTCAACAATGAAGGTGTCCTTGGGAGAAATCCATTTACTGTATATAATTGCACTGCCTGCACTCTGGCAGCAGCATCCAAATCCAAATGCTCGAGGGCAGCAGGGCCCGGGTATATGCATCAGACTGCTCAGCGGACGTTCCTGCCACGCTTGCCAAAAACTCTTGTCCCTGCACAATGAGGTACAGTATATATATATATATATAAATCAAATTCATGACTGCGCCTACTGCAAGTCTAAGTGAGGTTTTGGCAAACCTAGGGAACATGGACGACGGAACAACTGTGCCGCCTAGCACAGGGAGCCACGCCAAGAAGGCAGAAGGGCCAGCAGGGCCAGCTGGAAGCTTCTCATCCAGCAATTCCACCTGCTCAAACACACCCAAAAACAGTCAAAGACGTTCAGGAACCTACTAGCGATGGCCTCCCATCAAAAGTTGAAATTCCACAGCATCCCCTGCCCCTTTTCACACCAAGCACGGTGGGTGGAGTCGAAGGATTGCCAGGAGTGATATTGCATCTCCAGGAGCATGCCACGCAAGGAAGGCACAAACCGTCGGAATATGCATCATGTTCAGACATCCTGGGCCAACTTTGAGAAAGCAAGCGCGGCACCTGCGAGAAGGCGGTGTGTGTGTGTGCGTATACATATAGTATTTTATATATAGTATATCTACTAAATGTTTGTTATTATTGTGTTTATCTGTGTATATATATATATGTGTGTGTGTGCGTGTACAATCTCATCCCAGGTCAACATGACAACAAGCCACTCAATGAGTGCACAAAACTCCACCTGCGACACACAGCAGGTTGAATGCGAAGTGGGTAGCAATTGCAATCAGCGCCCAAGCAAAGCCTGGGATGGGAGTTGGCACCAGGACGGTCTCACCATGATGTTTGACACAGAATGTGACGGTCATGGCTGCTAGGCAGCCCGAGGTTTTGTAGTGCAAGATTTCAGCCACAGGATCCTCCGGACCACAAGGCAAACATTGTCCATATGATTTCTGGTCTTAACGCCAAACCTCCAATAACTTGCTCAACTGATTTTGCGTGGTTGACATGAGCCTGGGGCTTCACTTCAGAACCTCGACAAATAAGAATCCCATCCTGCATCCAGTAGAAGAACAGTGGGTGATTTGCCTCGGGCCAATGGTCGTGCCGAGGCAAAACATGCTTTACAGTAGAGTAAATAATGGTGACATCCAAACAAGACTGATTAATCTATCGCACTGATGTGATGCTTGTTAAGTTGCTTTGATGTTGTAGGCGGCCTCTGCCTGCTGCACTGCTAGTCGAAAGAAAGGCCTCGAATGCTCTCTCTCCGCAGCTCCCATGGAGTGGACACATGGACCCTTACAATTGTAGAGCGTGGTCTTGTGTACCAGCGTGCTAGCATGGAGCCTTTAGACCATCTCACCTTCTGAGTCATCAACCTCTGCTCCTCCTGCATCAACCGCAAGCCGGCATGTGCTTTGGGGTTGTTGTACTCGCCACATTGGAAAGCGCCAGTGGAGGATCCTTGCAGACAGCGCGTTGCTTTCTGGAAGCATGTGACTGTGACCATTCTGCAAACAAAGACACAAATTGCACATCCAAGGGGCCGCAGCAGTTTAAGCCCACTGCCCAGAAATCATAGGAGTCTAAAGGCGACTGACCATGGACAATTGGAGCAACACAGTACCTGTTCAGAATTCTTCATGGTGAATGAAGCCGTGGAACTTGGGCAAGCTTAAGCAAACTCCCTGCCTGTCCAAATTCTTGAATGACATGGACTTGCTGATGTCCAAGCCCGTCCCATCTTCAAAGTACACTCTTCCGGCATCCATGAGCTGCTGCCCTCAAGCTAATCAGCATGCACGTCTGGGTGCATGTCAGAAAGGAGCACGTCAGCAAAGACGCGAAACACCACCTCGCCCACATTTCCCATGTGCATTTGTTGGTGTGCAGAAAGCACGCGAGGGAGGTGGCCAAGGGAGAGGGAAAGGGAAAGGGAGTGGAAAAGAGAGGGAGAGGGAGAGGGAAGGGAGAGGGAAAGGGAGCAAGGCAGGGACAAACAGAGAGAGAGAGAGTGGAGGAATATGAACATACGTGAATAAACTTGAAAACCCTCAAGTTTGCTCTGTCCTCTTTCCCGAGCGGGATTCACATCTGGGTAGGAATTGATATTTTCAATGTCCTCAGTGCTGGGTCGTCGGCGTCCGTGCGCTGTCACAGGCATCAGCTGCCGGTCGAGTGACATAAAAGGGCTGCATATTGTACCAGTAGTTCATATCTCCTCAGCAACCCCAGAAGAATGGAGATCCTCTAAGACTCTAATACTAAGATGTGGAACAGCCAAGTCACCAAGAATTGCTCCGAAGACTGTTGCAAATAAATACCTGGGCTGTCTTTGGAGCAACACTCAGCTCAGTTTGTCTGCCTCCAACGACGCCAAGATGCGCAAGCGCTGCGAAAGTAAACCAAGTGGGGTCCTGCTCGCGGATCTGGTTCCTGCAACATGTTGCTGCGTGAGCAACACCAGTTAGGCTTGACAGCTGAGGGCCTCCGTGCCAAGAAACCTGCAATGCCCGCCAAAGCCAGACCAGCAGTGACAGAGAACCAGGAAATTGAAGGGCTCCAGTAATGCAGTTGGAAAGACCTACAACTTGAGACGCGGGAGCAAAAGCGGGAAAAAGTCGGAGCGCAAATACTACAATGCTAGACTTCAATGAATACCCCTCTCCTGTAGTGATATGTATATTGTTATATGTGTAAATTACCACAAAAAAGTTCTAAAAAGAATAACGTGGAGACAAAGGCAATTGAGTCAAGGCATAAGCAGAGGATGCGGACGCCTCAGGGCAAACGTTTGCAAGCGCTACAGTGAAGTAAAAGGCTTCAAGTAAGGCCCTTGAGGAGTGAGGGAACCGTTTCTGTGAGCACTGACTTCGGGACTGGGAAGCAATGGAGCGATGTGGAGGCTGATGAAACAGCATTCGACAGGATTTGGCAACAAATGCTCCAACAAACACGTCCACGTGTCTGTATGGGAGCAGTCGTGGTTTGGTCAAGCGCACAGGCATACACTCTCGTTCTACAACGTCTGAAGCCTGCCTTGGCTGCTCATCGAGCTCCGGGCCAGGCGGAATTAGGATCATGCCCGGGTCGCCCGAGTTCTTGGTGTTTTGCGCAACCACGTGGTCCACTGTAAGCGCATGGCATATCAATCTCAAGGGCAATTGGCAGTGGCAGCTTCCAAAATACGTCTGTCTGGCACCCATCGAGCAACGGGCAAACAAATTATTTAATGCCAAAGCTGGCACTCGGGTCATTGACTGTGCCTGGCGCTGCATGAAGGAGACGATCTTCTTGAACAATTTTTGGCACAGCTGGTTCCAAGTGGGAAGCTACTGGGGAGCTTTGTTCTTAGAATTTTTCTCAAGAGAGCGTACTAGCGAAGACTGACTGCTGGTGGGGCGCAAAATGTTGCTGCATGTTGCTGCAATTTTCTTGGTACGTGTTATCTGCTTATTTTTGTATCTGCTTGGGCATCAATGTGAAGCCTCAAACAAATGCAACAAAGTCCAAGGAGCTGAATTCAAGATTCTGGGAGACTTCTTGGATTCCAGCATCCAGGACCTGGCACTGGAATCCAAGAAGTCTTCCAGAATCTTGAATTCTTGTAACCTTACACTATTGAATTCATCAATCTACTTAGATATTGGGGTCGTTTGCAAACATGTTGCGCAACAGGAATGCACAACAACAGCATCACCTCTTGATTTGGCACCCGCCCAATGTATTCCAAATACATAAAACACGGCAAGCACAAAACTATGACAGGGTTGGGGGGATACATATATAGTCATACATTTATATGCCGATGTGCATCTATACAATAAATGCATATACAGTATATATATTCTCAACCCCCCATGATCTACCTTTTCCGGCTCTTCATCTCTTCTACATATTAACTTTTTCTATGTTTAAGCTCTTCTGCTCTTCTCAGCTATTCGGCTTTCCTGCTTCCTTGTCACTCTTCTATCCTTTCCTGCTTTTCGTACTTCTCAGATCTTCTACCTTTTCCTGCTTGTCAGCTGCTTTTCTGTACTGGGCTACCCCCTGGGTGGAATAGAGTTTGCAATATAATACGTTGACAAGATGCAAGAAGGGAGCTAAAAAGAAACCAACTAAAGAGCTTAAAGGGTAGTCAAAAGAAAACAAAAGGCGTTAAAAGGATATCAACAATAAAATCAAAAGATCAATAGGTAATCAATAAAAACAATGAATGTTTAAAAATGTAATTCACACATTAAAGAAGTAACAAAAGCATAGACGTGATTGCAGGGGATATCTTAATTTAAGGCAAACGGTGAACACATTGTTGTTGTAGGGGGTCAAGTTATATGTTTTAAGATTGCTAGTGTAATGATCGAACGATTTCAAAGGGAATTAACAAGAACCAAAAGGAATTCAATAGGTAATCAAAAGCACAAGGAGGTTTCAAAAAGAGGTTGAATTCACAAATACAAGTATATAATGAAAAATAAAAAACATAGACATCATTGCAGGGGATATGATCTTTTCAATTGTCATACCAGAGGAAAGTGGAGAAAATATCTGAGAGGGTAATACCATTGAAAAATGAAAAAGCGTAGACATCAATCCGGGGGGCGTTGTCATTAAAGCAAAAAGTGAAAAACATTAATGTAGGCGATGTTTTATTCACGATTCTAGTGTACTGCGCTAACCCCTTTGTCGAATAGTATTGTGACAATTTGATAGGATGTAATGGATGATTGAAGGGATGCTATTAAGCAGGGCAAGCACTAATTGTAGGGGGTTAAGTAATATTGTTCAACATTTCTAGTGTACTGGGCTAACCCAGGCTGATAAAAAAAAACGTTAAAAGGAAATCAAGAGGAATCACAAGAAATTTAATGAAAATCAATTAGAATCAAAAAGAATGTAAACGGAGATCCTTAGGATTCAAAAGGTTTATTGCTACAAACCTGCTGTTTTAGAGGACCGTTAAAAAAATATATCTATATAAACATGCTAAAAACTCCTATGTGCTGGCAGTGTCTGACCCCCAAAAAAGTTCGGGAAGTTTGGTTTCATTCCATTTCTTGGTTGCGTGGGTTTTCTTGTGTTTGTTTTTGCTTACTTGTTTTAGTCTAAGATTGCCAAATATTCATTTTTGAATATGTTGGTTATATGTATATATATCTGTATGTGTGAGTGTACTCTCGTGCGTGTATACATCTGTAGGTTAAAAACATATGTATATACAGTATAGTTACTTTGATCCCTTTACCCTCCCATGTGCAGGAGAACTTCAGCAAACTCCTTCGGAGCTTGCTTAGGTGATAATGGTTTCAAATAAACCAGGCCAAAAAGTTCTGCGGACGCTGCAAATCTGACCTTTGCCTTGGTGTTTGGTTCTTTGTTCTAGTGTCAATTGTTTCCGCATATTTCCGCTTCATCCCCGGCAAAAGGTGCCAAATGCCGCTAAGGTGCAAAGCTACAAACACACCTGAGCCCAGCTTTGCTAGATCTAAGTATCCAACAAGAACAAATCCAGCGCCTTGGAGTTGTGAGAAGTACAAGGAATGCGCAAATAACTTGGCCAAGTGTCCGCAAAACACTGCGCAGGGAGTCAGCAAGCTCACCAGAATAGCAACCACGTTCAGTCGCTTACCTCTGTCATCACTGAAGGATGCTCTGAGTGTACTGAGCGTACTGTGTTGTCTCATGCCAGTGGCCACTCTCTCCTGATATTTGTTCTATATTATTTTATATATATATACCTTGTCGTCAACCATTTGCAATGATTCCCATCAATTGCCTCCAAGCCTGAAGAAATGCAAATAAATATTTATATATATATATATGGCATATCTACCTACACCCTGCATATGTTTCTTTCTCTTGCATCCAAGTTGCGTTTCCCAGGTGTAAAGCTGCTCTGCTTCCCCTCGACAGATCCATATTCCTTACAAATGTAGAAAGCTGGTCTGCATGTCCCTCACAGCTTTGGAAGACCTGTGCGGCCAGGCAGCCATGGTGGATCCCCCCGTCTTCGTTGCTCGGTCGGCGGCTCGAGCCGGAAGCTGTTGGATTTGGCGTTCTTTCTGTCTCATCGGGATCTGCTCGTTTCAGACGGAAACAATGAAAAAAGCGTGAGAGAAGGAGAGAAGGAGGAAGGGAGTCAGACGGAGAGTGTGATACAAAGATTGTCACCACACACACACACACACAGGTGTGCCAAATCCGAAAGGTCACCAAGCAATTCGCCTTGCCCAGCCACTGGCCTTTCAACCACCACCTGCCCGGCAACGTCGCAAAACATCTCCCACTCTCCCTTGCCGCCAGTCCTTTACGGATCTATGAATCTGTGAGACTGGATTCCAGGCGTGCCAATTACACAGCTGAACTACATCATGCATACTACTAGACAGTTGCATGTGCATATACATTATACATGTATAATTCGGGTGACCTCCGGTGTCTACTTTGATATATGCATACTGGTGCCAGTCTGGATTCTGCTTCAACAAATCACACCTTCGAAACGTCAATCACCACAGGGCAGCAAGCCCCCTCTCCACCTCACCTTGTTGATCAAAGCTCCATTGAGTATTCGAACTGCGGTTTTGGCCTAAGTCTACACTGCAAACGTCCATCCCAGATCCAAACCAGGGACTGTCTACGGATGGCATAGCAGCAGCTTCTCGTTCAGAAGCAATCGATCTGGACCGCAAAAATACATTACATTGGCATTTGTGCCTGATCACCTATCTCAATGATTAGCTCAAGTCATGAATGATAGCCATGCTCTGCCATATTATCCATCGATCTCGGTGACCTCATTTCTCGTATGCGTTGCATATGAGTGAATGTCCTTTGACAAGGCTTGCTGTCCGACAAGATTGTCAAAAACAATCTGGACATATCTGGACCATGATCCAGCGGGAACATCGATGGACAAAGTTCCAATCTGGTGCACTCCATGCACATGAACAACCACTCTTTTTAATTATATAAAGGGGGGTCAAGCCGCAAGCCTTCAAGATACGCGAAGAAGCCAGGACTGCACCAGCACAAAGTCATCTGACCAAAGCCAAACTACACATATCACATACAGTATCTTTGTACAACCATGACCGTACATTCTGCATGTCATGGTTCATCTTCTTCGTCGACGTCTCAGCGCGCCAAGCCGCAAGGCTCAGCGGCCTAGAACATCCTCAAGCAGGCTGCGCGTATTGTTCCAAAGAAACAGTCCGCACAAATTCATCAAAATCAAGTGGCATTATTCAAGGCGGGGCGGGATTGTGGACGTCAAACTCCAAAGCAGGACTGCAGTTTGCTCATGCCAGGGTTCTGACCCAATCACCACATGCAAATACTGTAGGTGTACAATATGTGCTCGACGATTCCCACTTGTTGTCTACAGCCCCTTACACAAAGCGAGCTGAGGCTTCATTGTTTGTGTTAAAAGGTTTTGACCGGAGTTTTAGTACACACGAACATTCCGCACGCTTCTTTTGCCTCTTGGGTTTTAGGAGTTTCTCTGCTTCCTGAGTTGTCTGAATATTGCTGAACCAGAAGAACGAGAAAACAGGAGATTGGGTCTTCTTTTGCGACAGGACAGCCGCGGCATGGAGACGAATGGACAAAAGGAAGCTGATGACTACAGACAAGTATATATATATAATTGTGGGCCTATGCTGACCTCTTCTATACAGCATCACGGTTAATGAGCCTGATGTAAAACAATGTAAACAGTATTGACTCCCTCGATAGCTTGCATAAGGAACAGCAAATGGTATGTATGGACATGGAGCTGACTTATATTTGTTTTATCTATATTTATTTATACATATTCAATTATATATATATATATGTTCAATTCCACATGATTCTGCTGGCACCACATCAACGATCACAAAGAATTTGGCCAAGAAGCGCTGTCAATTTATTGCAGACATGGATGCACTTCGATACACGTCGTCCACCTGCCCCCACGCTAGGCAAATCTGACATCAAAAACTAGCTATTCTCCATTGACTCCTTGCATTCCTGGCATTCCTCTTTCAATTTCCATCTAAAGCGCCCATTCATGAAGCATGCTGTGTGGCCACATGCGGCATGGTCTGCGTTCGTCGTTGGCCGGCGAAACGTCGGCGATTGCCCCCTCCACCAGGAGTTTTCCTCGGACTTAAAACATCTGCCGTCTGCCAAAAAAATGCCAAGATCCTAGGGGATCGGATTGTCCCCTAGTGCGACGCGGAGTTGTTTACCGGCTGCTACACCACCAATTGTTATGAGGGCATGCTGCCAAGAAGCCGCACAACAAATTGGCCAACAGAAATTGAGGCTGAAGGATCTGACTGCCCGTTGAGGCTGCCAAAGTTCTTCGGGCCTGGCAACAGCGACACTGGCTACCCAACATTGAACTCAACAATTACGTGGTTCAGGCGTATTGCAGAGCCGCCTTCTTCTCTGGACTCGGCAGAGAAGTTCTCGTCGTTCATTAGGGGAGGAAAGAGCAGCTCCTTATCTTGTGATGCTGAAGAACCTGTCCTTTGTAGAATGTGAACTGACGCTGAATGAGGTGGTCCAAATTCGTCCGTATACTTGGGCTGCTGCGGCTATGCGGCTTTGTTCAGACTGGGCTTTGGCTTGCACAACGCATTATCACCAACACCAAGGAGCTCTGTCGGGCTCAAGCGATAGTTATGCAAAAATAACGTATATAACATATAACACAAATAACCTGTTAATCATGCTCAGGCATGCGAAATCTTGGGCAAACAAAATTCATTCCTTCCCGCAGGAAGGAAAAGGGACCAATCGCATCCAATAGCTACTACTCATGGGCGCAGTGCCTGCTCATATTCCGGAAATTGCATGAAGAGGCCAAATTCTTCTTCAGGGCAGCCCGCTTGTCGGGATCTCGAAACCTCGCCATTGACACTAAACGTTGCAGCACGCTGCCACAGAAACTATCGCACAGCTCGCCTGTAGTGTCTGCTGGTCAGAAGCTGACACAGGAAGCGGCCCAAGTCATCCACATCATCCTCTGTGAAATCCTTCCAGTCGACATGAAAGCACCAAGATCGCGGAATTCAGGAAGAAGTGCCGAGAAGGATCAAAAAGGCACCAGTGCGGCAAAAAGAACGCAGTCCTCCATGGCCCAAGGAGCAGGCGAAGGAATCGGGATAACGGGTTCCTGAGATGCGCGTGATGCGTTTGCTGAAAAATCTTACCTCTGCGGCTCTGCGGCTTCTCACTTCATTTGCTGCAACCCAAGTGGCAATGACCCGTTTTCCTTGGGAGAGCCGGAGAGAAGCGGAGAGAAGGGAGACACCAAAAACTACTGAAAGAGCCGACAAGTCCAGTTCCATTTGTGTCAAGACAAGACTGATTCTTGGCCTGACATCTTTCCCGCCAGGTTTCTAAAGGCAGGCTGCAAGCTCATCAGAACTGAGCCCCCAATCATGGCTGCCGCCGCCGCACATGCATAGGGGTAGTGGGGATCCATGCTAAACCTCAGGCGTTGCTTTCGAAGTGCTCTTCGGCTTGCTGAGCAATCAATGAGGGCCACTCTGGGCCACTGAGCAAGCTACAAGCTGCTGAGGACCATCGGCCCAAAGACTCGGCCTAAAGCCTGTGCCATCTGCTGCATGGACATCACCTGCAGCTCCGGCAGCTCCAACAGCTCTGGGCTCTGCAACATCCCAGCTCCAACAGCTTAGACCCTTGGCAATACCCTTGGCACATCCTTGTCGAGTAACACATCCTCGATTCTCATCAGTCGCCAAGACCGAGGTAATTGTGGCCTAACAGGCATGTAACAAAAATCTAGCATCAGCAAGTGGAACGTTGAATTGTCAGACTCCAAGTGGCAATGGTACATCCTGCGACGGCTTGACCAACATAAACGACGCACCTCGGATGAAGGGCTACCAAGTTCAGGGGCTAAGGCGATGTGTTGCATATGCTCCATCACCACCACCTTTCCAGAAATTTCCCTTGGCGGCTGTGGCGGCAGCTGCGGTGCAGCCATCCACCACACGAGCGTGCTGCAGCGAAGCAACATACCGAAGAGGGCCAGCTTCAAGATGGGGGAGTAGGCTAGGATCACCTTTCAATCGTGGAATGAATTGTTCTCCGGCGCGGCCCTGTCAAGACCAGCTCAATCTGAGTGCATGCCCACCTCGCCAAACGCTATCAATGCCATGCCAAGTGTAGCACACCCCACGTGGCCAAGATGAGTGTCCAAGTAGGGGCATATCCAAATGTTTGTGCCAATCAAGCACCTCAAGCAATCTTCTTTGCATTGCAGCTTGAACTTCGACTCTGCTCAGTGGAACTCTGGAAAGGAAAAGCTGACGATTTCGTTAAGCAGCAGTGCCCCGGAGCAGACTGCAAAGCCTATGGATACAGAATCAAGCCCGAAGACAGTGTTGGCAAACAGCCTCGGCTGAAGAGCTTTAACTTTCCGACTTTGACTATTGGCATCCATTGGCGATGTAAGTTCTCGCATCTTGGAATTGTTCTCTCAACTGCGGAAAAAGGACGCAAAGATCGCAAAAATGGCAGAGAAGGAGATGCCACGGAGGAACTCTGCAGCACACACGAACCACACGCTGAGGGAGAAGGTCCTGAGATCTGAAAATGTCTCAGAATCGGAGTTCAAAAGGCCAAGACTACTGAAACCGAATTCTTGGTTTGAATTGGGAGATGCCTTCGTCCAGCAATCTTTGAGGGGCACCTGCACTGTACAATGCCTCTTTTTCAGTTCGCACGCTGCGTGGTGTAAATCCCAAACATGAACGCTGGCTTGTGGGTTGCTTCCACGGGTTTATAGCTTACAGGTCCGTGACAAGTCTTGTGCCACGTGCCCACAGTATGGTATAGCTGGATGAGAGTCATGAAGTGCTGCGAAAGGAGCTGGAAAACTCTGCAAGATCCTTGCGCTTCGGCAGCCGCCACTTTGGCATGTGTCCGTTGGATGTTGGCCCATGCAGGGCTCTCTGGAAGATAAACCTCGGAGCCATATCGCACTAAAATTGGGCTCCCGAGCACTGGGCCCTCCGCAAAGCGGCCACCACACTTGGGGAAGCCATTGATT